CCGCTCCGCCGCCCGCCTCGCTCCCCCCTCCGTCCTCCACCCGCGGCCGCTCGCCCTCGCAGGCACAGGCACACGGGAGAAAACTGGAGGCAGGTTGTGGCGAGGCAGTATCAGTTACCTGAACGTCTGCCCGTGAGAAACTGCGGGAGCAGCAGGACCGAAAGCTCTCGCCAGTGCCTGGGAGACATCTGGTTCACATTAGCCAGCATATAGCTGGAATTATTTAAGCGCAGAACGGTCCAGCCACTCACGCAGCAGAGCTAAGGGCATTACGCTGAGGCCGTGACGAAAGCTAGCGGAGAGCAGCAGCGGCAGCCAGCGATTGTGTACTGGGGACAGGGGATGGGAGCAGCACAATGTCAGGCTGATCCCCTGCCAGGGCCGGGCGACCTGGGGCAACCCGTAAAATCAGACCCTTAAAAATGCAATTACACGATTTTGCGACATCATAAAGGAGCTGGGAGAGAGAAACGCAACCGGTTTGATATTACACCAAAACTTACCGAGCGTTCAAAAGTTTCAGTAGCTCTAGTAAAGAAGCAATATGGGAATTAAGTATTAAGGAAGCAAAGTCCAGTAGTTAGAGCACAGGGCTGGAAGCCAACGCTCACGCTCTCCTTTTGGCTCTGCTACTCGCTCGCTGTGTGGCCTAACCCAAGCCGTTTAATCTCTGTGTGCAATCTCTACAATGGTATAATAGTCTTCTACAGACATGTTGTAAGGCTCAAATAACTAGTGTTTGATAACGTACTTCGCGATGAAAGGTGTTAAGTAAGTATAAAGTACCATCACTGGTTATATTACTAGATGTATACCCAGCCTGTCCAAAACTGCTGCTTAAATGCGGCTGCAGGTATTCCTTTACATGATTATACAAGAAACTTCATTTTGTCTTTGCAGGGCTGGGTTTTGGATGATTCGTCTCATCCAATTTTCTTTCTTCTGAAATAAAGTGCATATTTGCTTATGTTAATGTCAAGAACTGTCTTCCCATTGTTTGAATACAACAGGAAGAATGCTCAGCTCCTTTGAATTGCCGCAGGTCCTTTGATTTCATCTGAGCTGCAATAAGTTATCAAAGGGAAGACACCAGCTTAACATCTCGGGAAGTTCAGAGGGTAGATTTTACTAGTTAGTCACATTTTAGATTGCTGTAATTATTTCTTCATACTTACCCTGTGGCAGTACTTGGGGGCTGTTATGACATAGGGCTTTACACAGAACAGCTAGGATATACAAGCAAATGCTGTAAAATAGCCATAACATTCACAGCTGTAAAATTGAGCTGTACTTCCCTAAGAACAGGCCACCTTATGAGATTTCTTTTATTTCCATTGCTTGTGGTTATTGCCTAATTATTTATTTCCATGTCTAGCAGGCAGTCAGTGTAACTACTCATCTAAATGTAGAAAAAAACGTTATGAGCAATACTAACAGCACAATTGCAAAAAGTATACTGTGAACATGAAAGGCCTTAGAGTGTGAGGCTTGACCCAAGCCTCTTGTAAGTAACTTTGGTAAGTTCTCAAATAAGAAGCAGTGGCAAATACTGAAAGAGCAATAGTAACTCTCAAGCTTGACGACTAAGGTGCTGTAGAAAATCACATGCATGTGTGCATTCCATTTTCTTCTGAAATAACTGAGTCAATGACCTGACATGCAGTGAAAATTAGCAAGCAAGACCAATGAAGCCACACTAAAGTCCTCATGAAGGCCCACGCCAAGGAGACAAATGGATAAAATGAGGAAGAATGAAGAAAAGAAGCATCAAAGGTGTCTGCAAGCTTATAAGGAGAAAAATGAGAAGTGGATGGAACCATCTGCAACATACACAAAAAGAACTATTTCCCAACTCTTCAGCCCACTCGGAAAAGACAAAGAGACGACAGACCAGTGACAAAAGACTATTACAGGCCAGAGAGAGACATTAGTGAGATGGTGGAATGAGTCAAAATATCTGTAAACCTAATTAAGAGCAGAATGCGCCAGCCAAGGTGGCCACAACACGGTTACTGAACAGCCTGGAAAAAAAAGAAGGGCAATAATTCGGGGCAATAATATCGGCAAATGAAAAAAGTTAGACAATCAAGAATGAGAAAGAATGTCAAAGAAACTAAGAAAGAAAAATAATTCAGTTAATCTTTTGAAAGAGTCTCAATTCTAGGAAATGGACTCGATTTTAAGGTTTGACTAGAAGATAGCTACTTTTTCACAGAAACAGTGTTCACACATAGGAAGAAAGCAGAAACGGTACCCTGGGTTTGTGTGGGCAATACAATATATTAGCATAAGATCTAGATTTTATCTGGGAGATAGGCTGCACAGAGGCGTGAGTCAAAGAGAACAGGATATAAGTTTATGAAATACACCATCTTTATCTTCATTGCACAATAAAAGTGATGACTCGCAACACTCACGGGTCTTCTGCAGTGTATTCCTTGGATTAAGAATATAAATTCTGATCTTCTAATCATCCATTACTCAACAAAGTAGCATGAACTTTATCATTTTGACTGACATTTACTTTAGTAAATGAATTATGACTGTATAGAAGCTGAATTGTCATCATTTAAGAACAGTGTATTCATACCAAATTAATTTTATGCTGGTTGCTAAGATGTTAAGCTTGAAACATTTAGCATAATTTATTTTACTACTAACTGCCTTAGAAATACCTGCCTGGGATTCCAGATACTTTTGATATTATAACTTTAATGCCAGACAATTAATTCATAAAATTAAAACCCAAAGTGCATATCTTTTCCTGTTCTGTATCTCCAGGTGTAATAAAGAACAAAGTCTCACACACTCAAATTTCTCCCTTGTATTTTTGATACTTCATCATACTGTTAGCCATCATACAGACACAATGAAGCATTGAGAAGCTAAGTAGCATACCTGTAGTTACTCAAGAATCATGTAGAGAGCAGTACCTTGACCTGAGCTCTGCCAGGTCCTAGACTACAGATCTATTTCTACTTCTGGATCATCCTGAAGATAAGTTTCCTACTGTATCTCAAGGAAGGGAAGAAAAAAAAAAAAAAAAAAGGATGGCCTTTTTAGCACAGAGTGAATTGAGAATAGGAAAAAAATTATTCATTCCAGAATGCTTTGGCAATACCTACCTCCGTCTGGCAGTATGGTGACAGAAATGTCATCAACTACAGCAGTGTCATAGATGAAGTCTGAGATCACAAGCCAATCAAGTCTACAGTGGTAGTTTTCAGTTTAAGATTTTAACAACCAACTATTAAGTGTCCAAAGAGCTATCTCAGCTCCTGAAAAAATAATGGCAGCTGAGGAACAGTGGTGCCTAGAAACTATTTCAGTTTACCGAGATAGATTTTCTGTTGCCCAGACATAGACTTCAAGTTTCACTTAAGATGCCCAGACATTTGAGATGTCTGCTTCACAGGTATGGCATGGGACTTCAGAAGATCTGTGCCTTTTCGAAGTATAGCAGGTGACCAGACGAGGACATCTCAAGTTGCATCAGACACCCACCATGGCAGGTTGCTTGAATAACTTTTTCAACATCGTTGACTGTATTGATCATATATTTGTTGACTACACTGGGGGCTTAAGCACTCAGCTTATATATAGACACTACTCTTCATGTCTTCGTCTTGAACTGAATCCTATCCAACATGTCAACATATACTAGATTCAAATTCCACCCAGAAATCAAAGCTTTAAACAAAGAAGATAGAACAAGTACAATATGGACAACCATATCCTCAGTACTAAATATTTTTCCTGAATTTCCAAACAAGTTTAAAATATATCTTCCATCAAGCACAAGCATTAATATTCTTAATATACTGTGGTGCCAATGGCACGGGATTGAGTAGCAACAGTAACAAAATTGGCATATGGAAGGCTTATGAAACAATTTGCTCAGGTTTGTCTATTGTTACTGGAAATACATCAACAGCCTAGAAAAGAATTAGTAGAAAATGAGGAACAATTATTTATAATGGGAGGAAATGCTAATTACATGTAGCAAGAACTCTGCTTTGCCAAGAAAATACTGCTGAGTAGAGTGGATGCTAAAGAGCTGTGCCAGGCATAATATAACATTTCTTAGAAATGAAGTAATTAGCACACTTCGAAGCACTGATAAAATCAGTATTCTTCTCACTAATACATCAGCAGAAAACTCCGGCCACAGAGAAGAGAAGCAGAAGGGTTAAGAATTTACTAGGCTAAGTGTACTTGTCATATTAAGCATACATTTTCCAGACTTTCTTTTGGTTATTGTGTCACATTTCACTACTCTGGGCATAGCTATGGTATTCTTTTAGAAATCTTATCACATCCAGCATAATGAAAACAGATGAATGCATCAGTGCTTAACTT